TGAAAGAAAACAAAATACACCAGGAATGGACACTGGTGGATTAGTATTTTGTAATCAGTCCCTAATTATTATGGAGGCTAATAGTAATCTAAATCAAACACCTTTTCTTTTCACTTCAAGCTTCTAGAAAAAAGGCCCTAAATCGATGAATTGTAAATATTATGATAAAAGATTTCCAACCTTTAAGCATCATTGAGGACGAGGGATTCAGGGAGATGTTGCAGACCCTTGAGCCATCATACACAGTACCAACAAGGAAGGTACTGTGTGTCAGAAATTGCACTTAACATTAACAGTTCGAATTATTATTATTACTGTATGAAGATTTTTTTTTTTTTTTTTTCTGTTGTACAGGCTCTAAAGGAAATGGTATCTAAAAGATATGAAGCAGAAACCCTGAACATAAAAGAAAAATTACACTCCACCAATGCAGTCAACCTTACAGCTGATATGTGGACTTCAATAAACACGAAGGCCTACGTGGCTGTGACTGGTCACTGAAAATAAAATATGCACCACTGTGCAGTGAGTTAAATACTTTCCCCAGAGCCACACAGCAGAGAATATTGCTGAGGTAGGTTTATTGAAAATATTCAGTACGGTATGTGTTGGTGTCATGTAAGGACTTGTTATTTATTTATGTGTTTTTTTTAGGTTACACAACATCTGATTCACAGCTGGGCCACTGCAGGAAAGGTTGCACGCTTTGTGACTGATGCTGGTGCAAATATGATAGCAACAGTGAGACTATTAAAAATCAGGCATAGTCCTTGCATCGCACACACTTTAAATTTGATAGTTAAAAAACCTTGCGATCAAGTGTCAGACCTAACTGATATCCAAAATAAAACCAAAAAAATTGTCACCTATTTTCATTCCAGCACTGTCACCAAGGAAAAGCTGTGTCAAGTGGCCATACCAGCTTGACTGATCCCGTCAGAGCTCAGAAGCTAAGCAGGCCAGGCCTGGGTAGAACTTGGATGGGAGATGGCTAGGAATTCCAGGTGCCACAGTGGGGCACCAGTGGCAAAAACTGTCATCGTATCCTTAGGCAAGACACTTCACCCACACTGCTTAGTATGAGTGATGATGATGATTGATGATGTGGCAGTCTGTCCCAGGGCAGCTGTGGCTATTATAGTAGCTTATCACCACTGAGTGTGGAGTGACTGAATAATGAACTGTAAAGCACTTTGGGTATCTTGAAAGGTGTTATATAAATGCAATAAAAAATAAAAGTGCAACAGCAAATGGAAAGACCACTTTTGAATAAATTAAGTTCCAACACACTGGAACAGCACTTATCAAACGCTGTCAAGAGTAGCAAGCCAAAAAGAGCCTGTTTGGGTCTGGTATCCTTAAAAACATCGATGCCTGCACTTACTGATGAGGAGCACGACATCATTGCAGAAGTCCTGGTTATGCTTGCCCCTTCTAATTCTGCTGTGGAGCTTTTAGAGAAGCAAGTGAGTGGAAGCAAAACAATACCAATGATGAAAATGCTTCACCGTACAATGCAAAAATGTGCCACATCTTTGCAAATATTGGTTGGAAAAAAGCTGTGTCAGGAACTGGACAAAAGAGTCATGGAAACCTTAAACAGTTATGACTCTTCTGGCCATCGCTCTCTGGCAACCTTGTTGGACCCACTATACAAAGCTCTTGTTTGTTTTTTAATGGGAACAAGATAAATGAAGCAGTGAAGTGACTAAAATCTGAATGTGCTACAGAGATGAGAATTTCTGGGCCGCCTTCTTCACCACAGGAAGATCAGCCTGGGCCCTCATCTCATTTGCCAGCATCTTCTAGTTCAGGTATGTATTTATTTATTAAAAATGTATTTGTTGTTATTTAGGATTTACATTTTGTACAAGTCATGTTTTGTAGACAACCTGTGGCAACAACTAGACATGGAGGTGTCTCAGAGCAGAAGAAACACAAGTTTTAAGGCTGATGCTATAATAGAATTCTCAAAAAAAAAGATCTACCCACACTTATTCAAACTGCCCCAAAAATATTTGTGTACTCCTGCCTCATCAGTTCCTTGTGAACAAATTTTCTCTAAAGCTGGAGAAATTGTTTCCAAGAGGAGAAATCTTTTGAGCCCAAACATGTTTCAAAAAATTATTTTTCATAAAAATGTTTGAAATCCCCCCCCCCCCCCAAAAAAAAGACAAGCACTCAAAGGTTACAAGCACTCTTCACATAGATTATTAAACATAGGCCCAATTGTTATGTTCACATGAAAAGCAAACTCATTACAGTATATTTTTGAAACCACTAGATGGAACACACACTTAGCAGCACAGCATGATAGTCTCAACACACAAGGGGAAGAGTGTGATACACACGGAGGTCATCTGCCCATCACTACTACCTACCCTATCCAGCGACAAAAATAAAACCTCAATTTGATCCTGCATACTTCGACATACACCTAGAGTAAATGTATCTGTCCATGGAGACACATCAGAAAAAGAAAGAAAATCCCCTAAAGGAACAGCACGAGTTGCAAACAAGTCCATAAACGCACAGCACTAGTGAAGGTTATGAGCACATACAAGCAGAGAGCAGCTCTTTTAGTGAAGTGGGTGGCTCTTAAAAGAGCCGTTGGGGTGTATACTTCAATGAAGCAGTTTACTTGGAGCTGGTGTACTTGGTGACGGCCTTGGTGCCCTCGGACACGGCGTGCTTAGCCAGCTCTCCGGGCAGCAGGAGACGCACGGCGGTCTGGATCTCCCTGGAGGTGATGGTGGAGCGCTTGTTGTAGTGCGCCAGGCGGGAGGCCTCTCCGCCGATGCGCTCAAAGATGTCGTTGACGAAAGAGTTCATGATGCTCATAGCCTTGGAGGAGATGCCGGTGTCGGGGTGCACCTGCTTAAGCACCTTGTACACGTAGATGGCGTAGCTCTCCTTCCTGGTCTTTCTCTTCTTCTTGCCGCCTTTGCCGGCGGTCTTGGTCACGGCTTTCTTGGAGCCCTTCTTGGGCGCGGACTTGGCGGGTTCAGGCATGTTTCTGATCGGGATCAGCGGACACTGAGGGGATAGGAGCGCGGCCGCTGCTTTTATCCGGGTCTCGCTGCGTTCTGATTGGTGGAGTCTGTGCGCGCGCTCAACGTGCAGGGGGCTTATGGGAGGGGGCTGTGTGCTCTTTAGTGATTTTAGGAGGGAAACGGACAAAAGAAATTCCCCTCCCCCCATTTCCCACCTTAGTCTAGATTAGAGTCACTTGTCTTTACTCTTTATTGTCAATCATAAATAAGAGTGAAATAGCGCGTACTGACAGCAGACTTACCTGTAAATGTATCAAGATCACACCGAGATCGGAAGAATACTTTGGAAAAAAAAATAAAAAAAGGATTTAGTTACATAATACTGACTACCTGCATTCAAATGTACTTTGTAATGTATTCTGTTAGATGTCCATATCAGAGTGCTGTGTATGCACACTTGGAATACTTTCACATTGAGTTCTGTTATATTATAATGTAGAAAGAAGTTTAAAACTGTTGAATTGTTGATTCACTGTTTGTAATGCACTCATGTAGGCTGTTACTGAGTAGAGAAGTAGAAATATCAGTTGCGTTCATCATAAGAGCGGTGTTAATTTCTATTTTTCACATTAATATTATGGCGTTTGCAGCCTAAAATACGTGATCAAAGTACCGCAAGTGCCCTTGATTTTAGAGACGTTACTGTATTCTGTAGGTATTTTCGGTAGGCCTACTCAGTTACTTCCCAAAAGTGACATCACACACAAAAAAAGGAGTGCGAAGCAGCTCTCCAAGCACCAAAAAGCGCGTATTTCCAGATGAGTATTCCACACGTGGCCGTTTGTTTTTCCGGGATAAACGCGGGCTAATAGTTTATTTCAGGATAATTCACGCAGGGCAGGGGTTCGCAGAACTGCGTTGTTAGTAATGGGGCGGCCTCTAGAGTTCCTAATAAGCCTAAGGTAACTAAATTAACTCGTGGTCTTACTGTATTAATGACTAGTAATAATATACCGTTAATACAGGAACACACAGAACAGAAGCTCTTTGTTGCGGTGTGTGGCCCTGAAAAGGGCCGTTGTGTTGTAACCAGAAGAAGAGTTTAACCTCCGAAGCCGTACAGAGTGCGGCCCTGTCTCTTCAGGGCGTACACCACGTCCATGGCGGTCACGGTCTTCCTCTTGGCGTGTTCGGTGTAGGTGACGGCATCACGGATAACGTTCTCCAGGAAAACCTTGAGCACACCGCGAGTCTCCTCGTAGATCAGACCGGAGATACGCTTGACACCGCCGCGGCGAGCCAGACGGCGGATAGCGGGCTTGGTGATGCCCTGGATGTTATCACGGAGAACTTTACGGTGACGCTTAGCGCCTCCTTTTCCCAGACCTTTACCTCCCTTTCCTCTGCCAGACATGACTGCTTCTGTGTGACGATTCACAAGATGAGTAGAGACTCCGAGCACACGGTATTTATTCACTGGCAGAGGACGTGACAGAAAACATACTCTCTAGCACCACCATGCGGACAGCATGTGCATTGAAAAAACCTTGGTCGGATACGATGAAATAAAAGATAACGTCAACTCACACTTTCCCGCCATTTTCCCCTGTTTGTATTCATCAAATATATGAAATCTAAATATCGTATTTTAAGTTTCACTTTTGCTGTTGGAGAGATGAGTGAGTGAAGTCAAGTGTGTGTTCGTGTTGTTAGAGGCTCTTCTCTTTGTGTTGGTAAACTGCCGAACTGTTCTTGTTTGACACGTTTGTCTTGATGGTCGTCGCTACTGTTAATGAATGCTGCAACATTGTGTTTTGTGACACAAACAGACTGGGAACATTGTTTCATTTAGATTTTAGTCCTTATGATAACGTTATGTATTATGTCAATTCCTTCCCAGCACATTTCCCTGTAGTTACAAGAAAGTTTTGTAATGATGGGTAGATTGAATAAAAGAGTCTCTTTTGTAAAAGTGGGGGCTCTGAAAAGAGCCGTTGTGTTGTTAAAGTTTGTGAGCGGTGACTTTACTTCTTCTTGGGGGCCGCTGCCTTCTTGGCTTTGGGCTTGGCGGCTTTCTTGGGGGCCGCTTTCTTGGCTGCGGGCGCCTTCTTCACTGCCTTCTTGGGGCTCTTGGCCGGCTTCTTAGGGCTCTTGGCCGCTTTCTTAGCCGCGGGCTTGGCTGCCTTCTTCGGGGACTTCTTGGCCGCCTTCTTGGGGGTGGCGCTCTTCTTGGCCGCCTTGGGTTTCTTGGCGGTGGCTGGTTTCTTGGCGACGGGCTTCTTGGCTTTAGGAGCGGCTTTCTTGGCGGGCTTCTTGGCCTTCTTCTCCTCGGTCTTCTTGCTCATCTTGTAGGAGCCCTTCTTCTGGACCAGAGTGCCCTTCTCCACCAGCTTCTTGACGGCGAGCCTGACCCGGGCCTTGTTCTTTTCCGCATCGTATCCGGCGGCGGACAGAGCCTTCTTGAGCGCGGGCAGGGACACGCCGTTGCGCTCCTTGGAGGCGGACACGGTTTTGACGATGAGCTCGCCGACGCTGGGGCCGCTCTTCTTGGGCTTGGTGGCCTTCTTTTTGGCGGCTTTGGCCGGAGCCGGGGCGGGAGCGGGAGCTTCTTCTACCATTGTTCGAGAGTCACTAACACAGTGAGAGAGTGGAGAGTGCGGGAGCACGCGCGCACTTAAACACGCCGTGAGAACCGTAGAGACTCAACACGGGCTCAGTCTGCTGCGCGCGTCAGCGGGAGACGCGTCTGTGCTTTCTGCGCGTCAGGAAAAGTGCCCAAAACAAAGGTGCACGCACTGGTCAGGACAGACAGACACGGTGGGAGACACGGCGACACGTTGACCGTAGAATAAAGTCCAATAGAAGTTCAGCCTGGAGCGCGTCTGGTTTCTAGAACAATCCAAAGCCGCTCAGACGCGCGTTCTGGAGGAGGACGCGCTCTCTTTTTCCCTCTGAACCGCTGACATTTCTTGATGACTTCACGACTGAACACAACCCTCGCGTTCACACACACGTGTGTCAGTAACACACATATAAAAGTGTGTGTGCTCTGAGTGGAACGGGACTTTCTGCGCGATTTTAGCCACTGCTGCAAACACACAAACGCACACATAGCCTATTGCTTATACACACTACTACTATTCATTTTTTTCGCCAAATAAAAGTGTTTTTAACAGACCAGTGTGCTGCTTACACATACACATTATTTTGGAAATAATATTGGAAGACCAAAATGAACCTCATGTACATATTGTATGTATAATGTGTTGCCCGCTGTTGTTCTGACATTTACAATGATATATTTTATAGGATATATATATATATGTGTGTGTGTGTGTGTGTCCTTGTCGCCGTTTAATTCATGTGTCAGATCGTTTGCTGTTAGATTGTGGTTGCTCAGCAACAGTACGTTTTGGCAGCTATGTTCTCATAAATGCTTCTATGTTGAAAGTGACAGAGTTGAGGCCAAAGTCCTTCACCATGTGTGAAGTGTATACATAAGCACACAGGAGAACAGTGACGCAGTGACGTCTGTGCAGGAGCAAAGCGAGGGTCAAATACACGTGTTTAGTACAGCCTAATTTACACATGTGTACAACCTAATATACATGTGGACTTTACTGCAGCCTTTCACCCCAAATGAAAACATATTTACACTAGTACAATTACACTTCCCACACTTACAAATACATGACATCATCAAAAACTGTCATCCATCAGTTTTATTGATCATACTCTTGAATGTTTGTTTCACAAATCCACAGAACTCAAGCAGAGGAAAACAGTGTTTTAAATAATAGTCACGTATTTGTATTCCCACATCTGCACCTCTCGGAGATTCAATGTAAAGGAGTCCATCCTACATGTTCAGTCAGGATGATGGAGTCATAATCCTGTTATCACTCAGCGTTAGGGGAAGCCGCTCTCCAAGGTGCTGAAATGTTTACAGGTCATTTTGAAAATATGGGCTATGCAGAGCTACTATAGACCGTGGCTTGTAGGCCTACATTAAACACAAATCTAAAATTGTTCTTTTTATAAAAGAGCAGCTATTATGTTCCACTTTGACCTTCCTCCAAATAATGTGGTAAGAAAAGGTGCACCAGCCAAATGGAAGGCCTTGAGCGGTTTTGTCACGCAAACGCTTCAGGAGTGGATTGGTGTTGGAGTCTCTTGTCCCATACAGGCTTCGTCTGTATGGGACTTGAGAGGAAGTCAGAAGAAGAAAAGTGAAGTAAGATTGTAATGCCTCGTGCAACGTTGCCAAAAATATACTCAACAGAAGCAATATTGTAGTAGTTTGTTCGTCGTGCCCTGACACAAAAGTAGAAAAGCTGCTCTTCCCCACGTGTGATGGCTCTTAAAAGAGCCGTTGTTTTAGTGAGTTAAAGCAGACGCTTTAAGCCCTCTCTCCGCGGATGCGGCGGGCCAGCTGGATGTCTTTGGGCATGATGGTGACCCTCTTGGCGTGGATGGCGCACAGGTTGGTGTCCTCGAACAGACCCACCAGGTAGGCCTCGCTGGCCTCCTGCAGAGCCATGACGGCGGAGCTCTGGAAGCGCAGGTCGGTCTTGAAGTCCTGGGCGATCTCCCTGACCAGGCGCTGGAAGGGCAGTTTGCGGATCAGCAGCTCGGTGGACTTCTGGTAACGACGGATCTCTCTCAGAGCCACGGTACCGGGCCTGTAACGGTGAGGCTTCTTGACACCTCCGGTGGCCGGGGCGCTCTTACGCGCAGCCTTTGTGGCCAGCTGCTTCCTGGGAGCTTTGCCTCCGGTGGATTTACGGGCGGTCTGCTTGGTTCTAGCCATGTTTCAAGTGTCTTGTCTGCGAACAGAGAAGGGGAACTGGCGAGAAGCGGCAAACGAGCGGTTTTTAAGCAGTCGGTCTCAAGCGCGCACGGCACCGGGCTCTGTGATTGGTCTGCGTCATACTCTGACGCACAGCGCCGCCCAAAGAGGCGTAACAAAAACGCTTTCTATTGGAGCTCGTGTGTTTGAAGTGAGCGCGTGAAACTGAGCGGGAGTTGGGAGGAGGGGGCGGGGCACTTCCACAGCCGGAAGAGGCAGTAGGACGTAGGTCTACGCACGCACACGGTACATGCAGCGTCCTTTTTTAAAAGATTCTTTTCTAAACAATCTTGCAGTCTAAAGGGAACTTCTTGATCATATTCACAGCGTTAAGTAGCTCATGAATTGGATCCACTCACTGTATTTTGGTGGTTAAATGCCTTTGTAATCATATCTTTAATTACATCTGAAGCGGAGACATTGAAGAAAAGGAGAAGACCTGTTAAAATAGTTTGCGGCCAAACAGACCACGGTAAACCGTTCATCTCGCGCGCACACCAAAAGAAATGGGGAGAAGGTCGGGGGCTTGTAATAACTGACAGTTTATATGTCTTCTGATTGCCTCAAAACTGCTCACAGACTTAGTGATGTGTTCATTATGAATGCGTAGTTTTGATAGCATCAGGGTGGTTTTAAGGTGTTAACATGATATGTACTCAGTCTAGTCCAGTTTTAAGAGAAGTAAGCGCTTAATTATGAGAGTGGGTGGCTCTTAAAAGAGCCGTTGTTGAGTAGCTGGTCTCGAAATTGCTTTATTTGGCCTTCTCGGTCTTCTTGGGCAGCAGCACAGCCTGGATGTTGGGCAGCACGCCTCCCTGAGCGATGGTCACTCCTCCCAGCAGTTTGTTGAGCTCTTCGTCATTGCGGACGGCCAGCTGCAGGTGTCGGGGGATGATACGGGTCTTTTTGTTGTCGCGAGCTGCGTTTCCCGCCAGCTCCAGGATCTCAGCGGTGAGGTACTCCAGCACGGCCGCCAGATACACGGGAGCTCCGGCGCCAACGCGCTCTGCGTAGTTGCCTTTGCGGAGCAGCCTGTGCACACGGCCCACTGGGAACTGCAGTCCAGCCCGAGAAGAGCGAGACTTCGCCTTAGCGCGCGCCTTTCCTCCGGTTTTGCCTCTTCCGCTCATGATTTCGCTTCGTCTCAGTGATAAGAAAACGACTGTCGGCAGACACAGCGCGGCGCCTTTTATCTTCAGGAGCGCGTGCGGTTCAGTGCTGCACCAATCAGCGGCCGCGCTCACACAAGGGGAGGAGCTCTGACTTCCACTGGGCCACCGTGTCGGGTGTAGTGTCAGTGTTTTCTTCAGTCAGAAGTTCCTTTTTTGATTACAATACATATATACAGTATAATACATTATAAACACATAACAGACAGTCAAGTCCATACCAAAGATTTTAAAAAGAAATGATCAAATAAAATAAGACAAAATAAAATAAAGTAAAGCAAAACTAATAAAGTAAACTGAATGATAAATACGCAAGCATTCTTACCTTAATTCTGGTAAGCTTTGTTCTACATATTACAACTATAAATATAAAATTGATATAATGTTTCTTGATTTACACACATTTAGTGTATTTATCACCAGGGAGCTCTTCCACATCAGGGATCTCTACCACACTAGGGAGATCTACCATATCAGGATCCTCTACCACATCAGGGACCTCTACTGCATCTACTACAGGAACTGGTTGAGTATTAGTGACGGCCACAGCTGGCTGTTTCTGCAGTTCCTCTGAGAGTTCCTTAGGTATTTGGCTGTTGAGGCGCTCAGATGAAAGAAGACCAGGTGTCTCCAGTGCACTGTTGAAGCTCCTTAGTATATACCTAAGGGTATATCTTTTATCAGCTGTTGCAATGGTGATGGCCCACATCAGACTTTTTGAATAGGACCTTAGATTTTGAAAAAGTTGCTTTCCTGGAAACATGTTGAAGATTTTGGCCATGGTGTTCCTGACCATTTCATCCTTTAACCATCAGTAAAAGTGGCACTGCTGGGTCATGGAAATGTCAAATTTTTCAAGTCTGCCCAGGACAGACTGGGCCAGTGGCAGGGGCCAGTCCAATGGCAGAGGTGCTCAGCTCTTTGTATGGCATACCAAGATATGGAGAATCCACGGGTGGTCTCCACAGGCTAAACACAAGATCAGAGACGACCTGCAGGATCACCTCCCTTGGCTGAAGCAGGCGGGGCATCTCCTCTATATTCTGCAACAGTGTTTCTGGAAACCTCTCTGCCATGTACTGCAGCCGTGGGTGTCTTTGTAAAAGAGTTAATGTTAGTTGTGCATATAATCAACTATAATTAACACTGTCCATCAAGAGACTTACCTGAAGGTCTCAGGGATCTTTTTTGGCTGAATGACCAACCTTGCTGCCTCTAACACAACATTATACATTTTGAGGTGACTGATTACTTCCCAGACCTGAGAAAATGAGCAGACAAAGGGTTAGTGCATAGAATTGCCATTGTCAACAAAATGTATAAACTAGGAACTTGTTGCAACATAACTAATGAAAAATAAATTTGCATCTTATCACATTCAGAAGAGGTTTTTGGCTGTCTTCAGCACCAGCTCCATACTTGAAAGTGCCATTGTCTGAAAGCACACACAAATATATTTAGTGGTCCTTGTACCTGTTACTGTTAAGACATATTAAAATTGTATACAGTTTTATACAGTATATAACTTATAGCACATGGTGGGACAGTATTCTCAGACAAATAAAGGGATACTTGCATCAGTTTCATGAGAAGGGACGTTCCAACAGTTCTGCAGGGCATAACGCCGAGCTAAACAGCTCCTACAACAGTGGTGGAAAGAAATATGATTAGATTAAACTAATGTATATAATGTTTTATTCTTCCATGCATGCACAGATTGGGACACATACACACAAGTGAATACAAGTTTACTTTAATTGGCAGGTAGATGCCAGGAGTTTGCGCCCTGATGTCCATAATGCTTGGTGTGCTATGACACAGTGACAAAACAAAGCTCAAAGGAAGTGCAAGTGAAGATTTGATCAGGGACTCTAAAAGTGCAGCCACATGGTTGAGATCAACTCTGAAAATGAGCACGCAAAGAGGTCGCCTTTTAACCACGAACTTATAGTTCTAGAGTTCTACACCCTTATCCATATTACTGGTGTTCTAGAAGGGCCTAGATGTTTCTATATGGTAATTTTGTTTTTGTAAACATATGAAAAATACAAAGGAAAATAATGATACTTTTATAACAATAAAGAAATCTTAGTTAAAAACAGATGTGTGTAAAACAGTACAATATATTTGTATAAATCAAAATTTGTAGTTTGATTATATATTCATGGCTACATCAGCTTTCTGTTCTGTGACATACTGAGGACTTTTGACACTCAAAAGATATCATGTTTAGGTTGAAATTGTTCATGCTATGACAATAGCATATTTAATTAAAGCTACACACAGGGATACAGACCCCACCACATCCTGTGACCACCATGTTTAACACACATATCCTGCACATTTAGACTGTGTTCTTCTCTTAAAGGGAAAACACTGTTGTGAGGTCATACAGTCCCTGACAAAAGTCTTGTCACGTATCCATTTTGTAGAAACAAAAGCTTATAACCTGACTTTAAATTAATCGATTGGTTTTAGAAATGTCTCATATGAAAGATGCAAGACAACTGCTCAGGAGGACCGTTTGTTGATTGGAAAATCCAAGGCCAGCCCCTTTTCCACTGCAGCAGAGCCCCACCAGGCCTGGTCACCTCAAGTCCCTGTGTCAACCACAACAGTTTGTAGAATTCCGTCTCGAAATGGCCTCCATGGTCGAATCAGTGCACAGAAACCAGCACTAAACAAAAGGCAATTAAAAAAACGTGTGGCATTTGCCAAGGCCCACAGCCTGCTAAAAGGATGGACACTGGAAAAGTGGCAGAAGGTGGATTTCTCAGATGAATCCTCGGTTGAATTACATCACAGCTGCCACAAATATTGCAGGAGACCTACTGGAGCCCGCATGGATCCAAGATTCACCCAGAAAACAGTTAAGTTTGGTAGCGGAAAGTCATGATCTGGGGTTACATCCAGTATGGGGCTGTGCGAGACATTTGCAGGGTGGAAGGCAATATCAATAGCTTAAAATATGAAAAAATATTAGCTACCTCTTACATTCCCAACCATAAAAAGGGTCAAATTTTGCAGCAGGATGGTGCTCCATCGCATACTTCTATCTCTACATCAAAGTTTCTCTAGGCGAAGAAGATCAAGGTGCTCCAGGACTGGCCAGCCCAGTCACCAGACATGAACATCATTGAGCATGTCTGGGGTAGAATGAAAGAGGAAGCATGGAAGGCAAAACCAAAGAATCTTGATGAACTCTGGGAGGCATGGAAGACGCTTTCTTTACTATTCCTGATGACTGCATCAACAAACTGTATGAATCATTGTCGAACCGTGTGGATGCAGTCCTTCAAGCTCATGGAAGTCATACAAGATATTAAATATGGATCTCACAGCACCACTACTTCATTCACTGACGTTATGCAAAATATTTTTGTATTTGAAGTAAATTATTTGTTCAATTTTCTGTAGGCGACAAAACTTTTGTCTTGCCAAAATCTGACCTTTCTGTGTTCATTAAATGATCAATCTTTCTTCAGTGAAGCAAATTTATTTTAGTATATAGAGCATAATTTGGGAGGGTTTTAGCTTTCATATGAGACATTTCTAAAACCAATCAATTAATTTAAAGTCAGGTTATAAGCTTTTGTTTCTACAAAATGGATAAGCGACAAGACTTTTGTCAGGGACTGTATGGTAATACAAGAAGTGTTCCACTGTGTTTTCACTCCATATACTTTTACTAGAGTTATTTGGAAAATTTTACCTCTGGAATTGCTAATCTCTTACTAAACAAAAGTTAAAGGTAGGTGTTATCTTCAAAACTACCACTACGTGACATTACAAGGTGGAACAGAACATTTTGAACTGTGCTGATGTTGACTGAGTAATTATAAAGGGTTAGTCAAACATGTGTGAACAAAACAAAATACAACTCCGGGTGTGTTTTTGATTCTAACTTGGCTATGGGATCTAAAAATGCACTCTCCACCATGATATTGCTTTGCTCAAATGTTCCCATCTTTTTCAGTTTTAAAGGGAAGTTTTTTTGTTTTGTTTTTTCTATCTGGCATGTCTTCACACAGATTAATACCAAAATACTTGACAATTTTTTTCACAGAGATGTTGCATAAGGATGTGTCAGGAGTATGGTATAAACAGTATTTCACACTTAGACTTGTGAAGTAGAGAGGCAACAGAAATCTGCTCAACAAGAGAAATGGCAGAGTTAAACTGATTCTTATCTTTTAAAAATAAGGCTGTGTCATCTACGAGTTGTGTAATTCTAATTTCTTTACCAAAACACTGATACTGTGAATAACTTGACTATTTTTGACATGCAATGAGAGTACTTCAACAACCAACAAAACGAGAAATGGAGTGACAGGACAGCTTTGACGAACTTGGACATGAATGCCCTTTTAAATGTTTTTCAAAAATTTGGGCCAGAATTGTATAATCTGTGTTTAATAATGTAATCGGCCTCCAATTCTCAATTAATCTTAACCAGGTTTGGGGATGAGACAAATGAGCCTTGTCTCATGGTGACTGTCATTTCTTCTTGAGTGATGCAATGACTTAAGTGCTTCAGTAGTAAGTCCATCATTGCCATGGCATTGGGAATTTACCGTTCTGCATTGATTTAATCGTATATGCTATTTCTTTTTGTGATTGATTTTTCACTATTTTGCCAATACTGTTCCGGAATAATACTTTAAACAGAACTGGTAAAGGTTTCACTCTGCGATTTTATCATTTGACTTGTATATATTGACATAGAAGGTATACACAAACTGAAAGATTTCTTCTCATCATTTTATAGTTAATTGTAAGAGTAGAAATATGCATAGATTTTTTTTTTCATTGCGCTTTTCTAAAAGAAAAAAAATACCTGGATATTTTCCCCCGTGCTCTAACCATTTTGTTCCAGGGTCTAATAAATTAATAAATCCTTTGGTCATGTCAGTATACATATTGTCCATTTCTATTTGCATTTGTTTAAGATTAACTTTTTCTTCATCATTTAAAGTTGGTAATAAGCAGTTTAGTTCATCCATTAGTGTAATTTCTCTTAACATTTTATTCCTTTTTATTGTCTTTGATTCGTTTGATTGCTTTCTTCCTTATACTGTAAACTTGAAGTACTTCCATTTCAGAATGTCATCCACCAAATGTTTCATTAGCCACATATTTTACAGTGTCACAAAAAATAGCATCTCTGAGTAGGTTGTTATTAAATTTTCAATACCCACGTAGACCTTTATATATAATGTGTGTGCATGCGTGTGTATTTGGACTAGATTAAATATCTAGTAAATAATTTATGGTCCGATAAAGAGGTGTAGGAATGATTGATTTCTGAGACATACTGAATGCATTGTGGAGATGTGAATCATAAGTCTATTCTAGATCAGGGGTGTCAAACTCAAATTCACAGAGGGCCAAAATTAAAAACCTGAATAAAGTCGTGAGCCAAACTAAAGATTTATTGAAAAATTTCAACAACATCTGCATGTTTTCTCTTCTTTCGAGGTAAGTAATGTTAAACCTTTTCTTATTAAAATAAATGTTTAATAATACTTTTGCTTAAGCACTGAATCCAGAACAAGCATAATATAAAATAATAACACAATTTTAAATAAATGTCTGTAGCCGGCAGGTCAGTTCTAGTACAAATTTGATATGATATAATGATATGATGATGATGATAATTATATCTCCGGCCTGAGTCTAACATGTCTGTTCTAGATTGGAGAGATCTACAGGAGTTAGACCAGTTAAACTAATAATCTGGGATTTAAGTAGCACCAGGCGTCCACATTAGTCAGCTGATGTATGATATGTATGATGTACATTTGAATCTTGTGCTTGGTACTGATCTTATATATTGCCTGTAATGTAATTTGGTGCATCACTGAAATCGCCTCCAGTAATCAAAAATACATCTTTATACTTTGTTATTAACTCCTTTAGTTTTATGCATAGTTGGTCAAACATTGTTTTTTGCAAGAGTTGAGTTATTGTGACTGTATAAATTGTAAATTTAATAGTTAATAGTATCCTTGTACCGTTAGAAAGATTCAATTACATCTGCGTTAGCTTTATTGAAAAATATGGCGACCTCTGCTGACGGTTGTGTGCTATGACTAAAAACACACAAAAGTTGAGTTCAAAATCTTTGTACTCTTCCTTTGGCTAAACAACGACGAGTAAAATAATTCAGAACAACGCATTAGTATTTTAAAAGAACAGAAACAGTAGAAGTGCATACACAGCGTACATCATAAAGTGCTTAGTGCTACTTCTACACGCCGTGAATGGGCTGGAAGTACGTGTGATAAGGTGCCTATGGAATAAATGTGCAAATTGCAAGATTAGCAGCAGCAAACAAGCGCTTTCATTTTAGTCATGCAACAAGTTAAAAAGGTCGTACATGAGTTTTGTTTGGTGACTGCGCGATACAGTAGACGTATCATGCTTTCAAAGCAAGGACTGAAAGGAAGCGCGTGATTACGCACGACGCCATACTATGAATCTTCGTCTACGAACAGTCATGCCAACCCCCACTACACAAATAAACCTGGATTGAAGTTAAATACTGTAGACATAACTAACCTCGATTTGATCCCGCACACTTTATAACAGTATCAAATGTATCAGTCTCCGTGGAGACTGATGAGCAAAGTGATAGCCCACACTGCACAGCAGCTCTTTTAGTGAAGTGGGTGGCTCTTAAAAGAGCCGTTGGGGTGTAGAGTTCGATGGAGCGGTTTACTTGGAGCTGGTGTACTTGGTGACGGCCTTGGTGCCCTCGGACACGGCGTGCTTAGCCAGCTCTCCGGGCAGCAGGAGACGCACGGCGGTCTGGATCTCCCTGGAGGTGATGGTGGAGCGCTTGTTGTAGTGCGCCAGGCGGGAGGCCTCTCCGCCGATGCGCTCAAAGATGTCGTTGACGAAAGAGTTCATGATGCTCATAGCCTTGGAGGAGATACCGGTGTCGGGGTGCACCTGCTTAAGCACCTTGTACACGTAGATGGCGTAGCTCTCCTTCCTGGTCTTTCTCTTCTTCTTGCCGCCTTTGCCGGCGGTCTTGGTCACGGCTTTCTTGGAGCCCTTCTTGGGCGCGGACTTGGCGGGTTCAGGCATGTTTCTGATCGGGATCAGCGGACACTGAGGGGATAGGAGCGCGGCCGCTGCTTTTATCCGGGTCTCGCTGCGTTCTGATTGGTGGAGTCTGTGCGCGCGCTCAACGTGCAGGGGACTTATGGGAGGGGGCTGTGTGCTCTTTAGTGATTTTAGGAGGGAAACGGACAAAAGAAATTCCCCTCCCCCCATTTTCCCCCTTAGTCTAGAGTCACTTGTCTTTACTCTTTATTGTCGATCATAAATAAAAGTGAATTTCTTATGATGGTCTGAGAACCAGACCAGGATTAAACCAGGACTAGACCGGGACTAAACAAGGACTAGACTGAGACTGATCCAGTGTCATTTGTTTCGGGAAAAGACCGGGGCCGGGCACTTGTTTTCAGGGCAACGGACGCACGTCAATTATTTTTCTCCCGTTCGTCCACGGCGTCAAAGACGCGCGTCGGGGGCGTCTAAATTCAAATACAAAGGTGTCCAAATAGAGGCGTCAAGGCGTTTTTTGACGCTTTGGTAAATGTGTCAATATCACAGAGGTCGGAAGAATACTTTGAAAAAAAATATATTAAGTTACATAATACTGACTGCATTCAAATGTACTTTGTAATGTATTCTGTTACATGGCCATATCAGAGTACTGTGTATGCATACTTGGAATACTTTCACATTGAGTTCTGTTTTATTATAGAGTAAAAACGCTATTTTTTAAATTAATTACTTTGTTTTTGTATTTATTTATTTAAAACGGTTTGATTTGCTATTATAGTAGGCTGTTAGTGAGTAGAAAAGTAGAAATATCAGTTGCATTCATCCCAAGATTTGTGAATGAATGCAATTTTTTTTCCACATTAATACTGTTGCGTTTGCAGCCTAAATTGTGTGATCAAGTACCGCAATGTAGCCTAGAGAAATCATATATACCGTGACTTAATGTTACGTAGACGTGTTTTCGGTGGGCCTATTCAGTTACTTCTCAACACTGACACCACACAAGAGGTGTAAAGCAGCTTTCCAAGCACCAAAAAGGGCGCGTTTCTTAGCTTTTCAGGGTAAACGTGGGTTAATTTTAATTTTGTGGTACTTCACAAGACGAGGAACTATTGTAAGATGCTGCCTCTTGATTTTTATCCTACTTCTCAACTCGGATTTTGACCAAACTTTTTCATAGTCTACTTTGTCGGGATGGTGAATGTCAAGTCAGGTTCGCATACGAAACAGAAGCTCTTTATAGCTGTGGGTGGCCCTGAAAAGGGCCGTTGCGTTGTAAGAAGAAGAATTTAACCTCCGAAGCCGTACAGAGTGCGGCCCTGTCTCTTCAGGGCGTACACCACGTCCATGGCGGTCACGGTCTTCCTCTTGGCGTGTTCGGTGTAGGTGACAGCATCACGGATGACGTTCTCCAGGAAAACCTTGAGCACACCGCGAGTCTCCTCGTAGATCAGACCGGAGATACGCTTGACACCGCCGCGGCGAGCCAGACGGCGAATGGCGGGCTTGGTGATGCCCTGGATGTTATCACGGAGAACTTTACGGTGACGCTTGGCGCCTCCTTTCCCCAGACCTTTGCCTCCCTTTCCTCTGCCAGACATGTTCGCTTCTGTGTGAGATGATTCACAAGATGAGTAGAGACTTCGAGCACACGGTGTTTATTCACTGGCAGAGGACGTGACAGAAAACACACTCTCTAACACCACTATGCGGACAGCTTGTGCATTGAAAAAAACTTGGTAAAATACGATGAAATAAAAGATTAGTTCAGCTCACGTTTTCCCGCCATTTCCCCCTGTTTGTATTCAGCAAATATATGAAATCGAAAACATGAAAGTATTGGTGCCATTTTCTACGTTGCAATTTAGGCTCAGATTCAGTTCAGATTCAGATTAATATTATAATTTATTTTATATGTAGTGATTGCATGTTATAGCATATTTAGAATTGCATTATATTTACAGTACTGTATTTGATCATTTGTTTTTAATGTAATTTTAATTTAGTTTTGAACTAGTTCAGATTAATTAGTTAAGAATTTCCTGATGTATAGCCAATAGGAGCCGGCGCTTTGAGCTCGATGCATCAGTGTGTTCATCCAAAGACTGGATGAACACACGGTTTTGTACCGTTTTGCTCTTGGAGAGATGAGTGAGTGAATAAAAGTGCGTATCCGTGCTGTTAGAGGCTCGTTTTTGTGTTCACAGGCTGCCTGTTGTTTTTATTTGTTTAGCATTGACACATTTGTCTTCATGTTTGTTTCTGTTACCAAATGCTGCGTAACAACATTGTGTTTTGTGACAAATGGATCGGTGAGTTTGCGGACAGGGGACTGGGAACATTGTTTCATTTAGAATTGAGCCCTTCTAATTACGTTATGTGTTATTATGTCAATTCCCTCCCAGCACATTTCTCTGTACGTTCCAACAAAGTTTTGTAATGATGGGTAGATTGAATAAAAGAGTCTCTTTTGTAAAAGTGGGGGCTCTGAAAAGAGCCGGTGGGTTGTTAAAATTAGTGAGCGGTGACTTTACTTCTTCTTGGGGGCCGCTGCCTTCTTGGCTTTGGGCTTGGCGGCTTTCTTGGGGGCCGCTTTCTTGGCTGCCGGCGCCTTCTTCACTGCCTTCTTGGGGCTCTTGGCCGGCTTCTTAGGGCTCTTGGCCGCTTTCTTAGCCGCGGGCTTGGCTGCCTTCTTCGGGGACTTCTTGGCCGCCTTCTTGGGGGTGGCGCTCTTCTTGGCCACCTTGGGTTTCTTGGCGGTGGCTGGTTTCTTGGCGACGGGCTTCTTGGCTTTAGGAGCGGCTTTCTTGGCGGGCTTCTTGGCCTTCTTCTCCTCGGTCTTCTTGCTCATCTTGTAGGAGCCCTTCTTTCTGGACCAGAGTGCCCTTCTCCACCAGCTTCTTGACGGCGAGCCTGACCCGAGCCTTGTTCTTTTCCGCATCGTATCCCGCGGCGGACAGAGCCTTCTTGAGCGCGGGAAGGGACACGCCGTTGCGCTCCTTGGAGGCGGACACGGTTTTGACGATGAGCTCGCCGACGCTGGGGCCGCTCTTCTTGGGCTTGGTGGCCTTCTTTTTGGCGGCTTTGGCCGGAGCCGGGGCGGGAGCGGGAGCTTCTTCTGCCATTGTTCGAGAGTCACTAACACAGTGAGAGAGTGGAGAGTGCGGGAGCACGCGCGCACTTAAACACGCCGTGAGAACCGTAGAGACTCAACACGGGCTCAGTCTGCTGCGCGCGTCAGCGGGAGACGCGCCTGTGCTTTCTGCGCGTCAGGAAAAGTGCCCAAAACAAAGGTGCACGCACTGGTCAGGACAGACAGACACGGTGGGAGACACGGCGACACGTTGACCGTAGAATAAAGTCCAACAGAAGTTCAGTGTGGAGCGCGTCTGGTTTCTAGAACAAAACAAACTCTGACACAAACACAACCCTCGCGTTCACACACACGTGTGTCAATAACACACATATAAAAGTGTGTGTGCTCTGAGTGGAACGTGACTTTCTGCGCGATTTTAGCCGCTGCTGCAAACACACGCACGGACTTACACATATAGTCCTACATTTAGCATACACACTACTACTATTCATTATTTCTCCAAATAAAAGTGTTTTTAACAGACCAGTGTGATGGTTACTCATGCACAATAATACTGGAAGACCAAACCGAACCTCATATACATATTGTATGTATAATGTATGTTTTTTGTTGTTTTTCTTTTTTTGTTTTTTTCCCAATCAAACCTTAGTTCTGCTTTGTGATCACAGACCACTCTCAGTTTCGGTGATTCAGTGTGAGGGACTTCATCCTACATGTTCAGTCAGGATGATGGGGTCAAAATCCTGTTATCACGCAGCGTAGGTGAAGTCGCTCTCCACGGTGCTGAAATGTTTACTGGTCATTTTGAAGATATGGGCTGTGCAGAGCTACTATAGACCGTGGTTTGTATGCCTACATTAAACACAAATCTAATATTGTTTTTTTTTTTCTTTTTATTAAAAAAAGAAAATGAAAGAAAAAAGAAAGAAAAACAAGGCCGACAGCTATTATGTTCCACTTTGACCTTCCTCCAAATGATACTATGATTCATGACAAACATCTCATTGTCATGGAAAGTCATGACGTCACATGTTAATCAGCTAATTAGCTGAGACTTTAGTTTCTCAGTTTGGTTCAGAGGGTTACACAATAACGGGGAAAGATAACGAGACAGATGTCCAGTAGACAGTCACTGACTCCCTCCACAAGGAGAAAACCACAGAAGGTGATTTTTAAAGAAGCTGGTAGTTCACAGAGTGCTGTATTAAAGCATATTCATAAAACCTTGAGAGGAAAAATAAACATGTGGTAGGAAAAGGTGCACCAACCAAATTGATGATTGCAGCCTTGAGAGGACTGTCAAGCAAATGCTTCATATGGAGTCGACTTGAGTTGGAGTCAGCGCATCAAGAGCCACTAGACACAGATCAAGCCTGTATGGGACATGAGAGGAAGTCAGAAGAGTCTTACTTGGGCTGTGGAGAAAAAGAACTAGACTGTTGCTCAGTGGCAAATTTTGTATGTCATTTGGAAATCAAGGTTCCACAGTCTGGAGGAAGAGTGGAGAGGCACAGAATCCACATTACTTGAAGTTCAGTGTGAATTTTGCACAGTCAGTGATGATTTGGGCTGCCATGTCATCTGCTGGTGTTAGCCCACTGTGATTTCTGAAGTCCACAGTCAACGCAGTCATCTACCACGACATTTAACACTTCATGCCTCTCTCTACTGAGAAACTTTATGGAGGTGATGATTTTCTTTTCCAACATGACTTGGCACCTGTCCACACAGGCAAAGGTACCAAAAGCTGGTTCAGTCATTGTGATGATACTTTGCTTAATAACCCTGCAAGCAAGCTCTCCTGATCTATACCCCACAAAGAATGTGTGTGCTATTATTAAGAAGGTGAGAGGCAGCAATGCAGATGACCTGAAGGCCGCTATCAAAGCAACCTGAGCAGTGCCACAGGGTGATGCCACACCACTTTGATGCAGTAGCACATGCCAAGAGACCCAAATAACATACTGAAGAGTGACTTTTTAAAATATCCTTTTATTTATCTGAATTTTGGATTTCAAAATGAAGAAATTAAAGGCTTGAAAGCGCTGTATAATCAATTAATATAATACACAGATTTGACTTTGTGAAATCAGTGACTTCTTCACGTTGTTCTAATAACTGGAGACAGAATGTAATTCTAATGTGTGTGTTATAATCCCTCGTGTAACACTGCCAAAACATACTCAACAGCAGCAGTATTGTGCGTGACAGCTGTAGAAGTTTGTTCGTCGTGCCCTGACACAGAAATAGAAATGCTGCTCTTTCCCACGTGTGGTGGCTCTTAAAAGAGCCGTTGTTTTAGTGAGTTAAAGCAGACGCTTTAAGCCCTCTCTCCGCGGATGCGGCGGGCCAGCTGGATGTCTTTGGGCATGATGGTGACCCTCTTGGCGTGGATGGCGCACAGGTTGGTGTCCTCGAACAGACCCACCAGGTAGGCCTCGCTGGCCTCCTGCAGAGCCATGACGGCGGAGCTCTGGAAGCGCAGGTCGGTCTTGAAGTCCTGGGCGATCTCCCTGACCAGGCGCTGGAAGGGCAGTTTGCGGATCAGCAGCTCGGTGGACTTCTGGTAACGACGGATCTCTCTCAGAGCCACGGTACCGGGCCTGTAGCGGTGAGGCTTCTTGACACCTCCGGTGGCCGGGGCGCTCTTACGTGCGGCCTTTGTGGCCAGCTGCTTCCTGGGAGCTTTGCCTCCGGTGGATTTACGGGCGGTCTGCTTGGTTCTAGCCATGTTTCAAGTGTCTTGTCTGCGAACAGAGAAGGGGAACTGGCGAGAAGCGGCAAACGAGCGGTTTTTAAACAGTCGGTCTCAAGCGCGCACTACACCGGGCTCTGTGATTGGTCTGCCGCACAGCACCGCCCAGAGAGGCGCAATAAAAGCGTTTTCTATTGGATCTCGTGTGTTTGAAAGTGAGCGCGCGAAGCTGAGCGGGAGTTGAGAGGAGTAGAGCGGGAAGAGGCAGTAGGACGTAGGTCTACGCACGCACACCACATGCGGCGTCCTTTTTTCTAGCCTCTATTCCAATGAACGTGCTCCACATCTTGCTGTCTAAAGGGAAGTTCATATTGATAGCGTTAAGTCGCTCATGAGTGGGATTCACGAAATGTAGTTTGGTGGTTGAATGCCTCTAATTGTGTCTTTAATTACATCTGAAGCGAAGTCATTGAACATAAAAGGTACCTTTTTTTTGTGGTCAAACACTCATTGCATTCATTACATATTGTCATAAATTGTGTGAGCGGTTTTTTGAGGTCTTGTGAAAGTATGCAAACTTCAACGGACTTAAACACCCTGGTGCTTTCAAAGCTCCCAGTTTAATTTGTAAAGTCACGTTTTATGGACACATATTCAGTTTAGTGCAGCTTTAAGAGAAGTGAGCGCTTTATTGTGGCAGTGGGTGGCTCTTAAAAGAGCCGTTGTTGAGTAGCTGGTCTCGAAATTGCTTTATTTGGCCTTCTCGGTCTTCTTGGGCAGGAGCACAGCCTGGATGTTGGGCAGCACGCCTCCCTGAGCGATAGTCACTCCTCCCAGCAGTTTGTTGAGCTCTTCGTCATTGCGGACGGCCAACTGCAGGTGTCGGGGGATGATACGGGTCTTTTTGTTGTCGCGAGCTGCGTTTCCCGCCAGCTCCAGGATCTCAGCGGTCAGGTACTCCAGCACGGCCGCCAGATACACGGGAGCTCCGGCGCCAACGCGCTCTGCGTAGTTGCCTTTGCGGAGCAGCCTGTGCACACGGCCCACTGGGAACTGCAGTCCAGCCCGAGAAGAGCGAGACTTTGCCTTGGCGCGAGCCTTTCCTCCGGTTTTGCCTCTTCCGCTCATAGTAACGGTTAGTTCGTTTCACTGACGAGTAAACGACTGTCCGTAGACAGAGCGTGGCGCGTTTTATGTTCGGGAGCGCGTACGGTTCAGTGCCGCACCAATCAGCGACCGCGCTCACACAAAGGGAGGAGCTCTTGTACGCCACATTATGGAGGCATCACATTATTTTTCATCTCTATCTACATCTCCATCAGCAATGAACATTTACTAAACCTACAACAGGTTTGAAGATAATTACTATATTGAATTATCATTCAGTAAATCACAGATGGATCATTTTAGGTGACAATATGTATCGTCTGAACGTTTTCTTATTTGAAGTGTTTTATTCTGCTGTTTTATTCATCAATGGATTCATTTCAAAGGAAATTATAAAGCTCTAGTGTTGCTGCAAGTGGACCTGATTGACTAAGATTCAGGAACACAACCACGCCTTAACCTCCCTCCTCTTAACCTCCTCTCCAACCAACCCCAGTTCAACTCAACCACACCTTCAGTTAACCAGAAGCCCTATTTATACAGTCCTATCCCAACAACACCATCTCTCCATGCTCTCCCACACCCCATGTCTCTTGTTCACCCCTTAGCCAACATCTATCATCATCAATAAATACCTTTATCGTATTCTATAGTTGTGGCGTGGTCCCTGTTAGTAAATATAAGGTGGAGAAATGAGAAATGTTGTGTATTTAACTTATGTGTATCTGTTCTATGTCTTCACTAACAGCAATTAAGCAGAAGGTAGTTTCTCTATAATTAAAAAAGCAACGTAATGTATATGCTGGAATGGTAGGAGGGCATCCGCATTAAATGAGGGTGAGAGTAAAGTAAAGTATTTGTACGTCTTCTCACTCCTTTTGAGCGAGCATTTTCTAGTTGCCTAAGCCTCTAATGCAGAAAATAATTAGTTTTATCATCTTTTTTTTTTTTTTTTTTTTTTCCACAGAGGAATCTGTGGAAATGTTGCAAAATTGCAAAAGCGGGCTTTAGTGGTTACCAATATCACAACTTCACCTTTAATAAAAGCCAGCTTTGTATTAGTTATTGCTCACTCAATAAAATTAATAATTTTTATTTTTTTTATACAGAACAGCACTAAGTACACCGTATGGTCCCATAGCTGATGTGATGTCTTGTAACTGTTTCCAGTGCTTGTTTTCATCCATCCACTTTGTGGACAACCTGAATAAGGGATGAACAGAAGCAAGACAAAGTTTGGAAGATTAGGCCATGGTTTTGGTGCTAGACCTAGCACCAAACCTAACTTGGTTCACCTCGAAGTCATAGAGTATGCTGGAGATTACAGTTATTGCCCACATCTTGAAGCCCCAGGGATGGGGTTACCCACGCATATATTGCCTGAACCCAATGAACCTTCCCTTGAAAGGAATCATCATTTCATCAATGGAGTTAGTTTTGACCATCCCAGCTTGTCAAAGCCTGATCTCGTCAGATCTCAGAAGCTAAGCAAGGCTGGGCCTGGTTAGTACTTGGATGGGAGACCACTGGGAATTCCAGGTGCCACAGGCGGGCGCCAGTTGCAAAAACCCTGTTGTTGTGTCCTTAGGCAAGACACTTCACCCACATTGCCTAGTATGAAAGTGGTGTGTGCAGTGGAGGTCAGAAGGGCAGATGGTGCCAAAAGGCAGCTGTGGCTACAGTAGTAGCTTACCACCACTGAGTGTTGAGTGAATGAATAATGAACTGTAAAGCACTTTGGGTATCTTGAAAGGCACTATATAAATGCAATGCAAAGATTAATTAATTAATTAATAGTAAATAAATTTAAAAATGTATTAATTAATTATACTCCTCTGGCACTATCTGCAGGCACTTCTCGTTGAAGGACTCCAACCATGGTCTAATCTTCCAAAGTTTTTCTTGCTTCTGTTCATCTGTAACACTGAGATTGTCCACAATGGGGAAGGATGAAAGCAAAACACTAGAAAGAGTTATCACTATCACTGTTATCTGATTCTATTTCAAAATTATACAATTTTATAGACTACATAACTATAAACACACACGCACCTATCCATCTATTCTATTGGCTCAACACTCAGGGGTGAGGGATTCTCTGTGTAAAAGGGGCATCGTTTGTAACCCACTGTTGCATTTTTGCATCATTTACATAAATCGCTCTAAATTATGTGTAGTATACTTTAAAAAAATATATATGTTTAACTTAAACCTGGGCGTCATTTTTGACTCTGAGCTGACTTTTATCCCACACATTAACAACATTACAAAAATTGGTTTCTATCACTTAAATAACATAGCCAGAGTCCGCCTCATTCTCTCTCTGGCCAACACCGAGACGCTGATGCATGCTTTTATCACCAGTCGAATAGACTACTGTAATGCCCTGCTCTCTGGTCTTCCCAAAAAGAGTATTTCAGGTTTACAATTACTACAAAATTCTGCCGCACGTGTCCTGACGAGGACCAGAGGGCGGGACCACATTACACCAGTTTAAAAATCACTGCATTGGCTCCCTGTGTGTTTCAGGATTGATTTTAAAGTTCTTTTGCTGTTTTTTAAATATCTTAATGGTCTTGGGCCTTCTTATCTTTCAGAACTGCTTTTTACCCTATGAACCCTCGCGGGTCCTCCAAGCAGCAGGCTCCTGGTCATTCCCAAAGTCAGGACACACACTCACGGAGAGGCGTCTTTCCAGTATTATGGTCCCCGTCTATGGAACTGCAGCAGGAGGAGCTCAGGGCTGCAGAGAACATTCATGTTTTTAAGAGTAGGCTCAAGACCCACCTTTTTAGCTTAGCTTTTGAATGAGATATCATATTTTTTACTTGTTTCTACTGTACACGTTTTAATTATATTTATTTATTTTAGGCTTATTTTTAGGATATGCAGTGTTTTCTCTGTAGGAGCCCTCTGCATCAGGAGCAGGGGTCGGCTGTAGCTGTCGGGTCTGTACCGTGGGCTCCTGGTGGAGGGATGGTGCCTTGGGCTTCATCTCTCCCCTGGGCCCTGTGGTGGTTCCTGGTGGTGGTGGACGTCTCTCTGCTCCTGGTGTAGACGGCTCCTCTGATGATGCTTTCTCAACTGGTTCGCCTGTATTCAGCCTCACATTTTACTATGTGTCGTTTTATGTATTTTAGCAGTTTAGTGTGTGTGTGCGTGTGTGCTTGTGTGCTTGTGTGTTTGTGTGTCTGTGTTGTTTGGTTGTGTCGAGTTGGGCAGCTGTGGGGGTTGGGTGGGTGGGTGGAAATGTGGGATTGTTTTTAATCTCTGTAAAGCACTTTGTGTTACATTTTTGTATGAAAAGTGCTTTATAAATATAAATATATTTATATATATAATATTTTACAGATTGTTTACTTACTTCTACAATTGTAAAAAAAAAAAAAAAAAAAAAAATATATATATATATATATATATATATATATATATATATATATATATATATATATATATATATATATATATATATATATATATATATATATATATATATATATATATATATATATATATCCATAAAAGAGAGCTCCAATATTCATATTTTCCCTTCAAAAATGTTGTGTGATGTAATACAGAGTGTTGGGTGCTGGGATTTGCAGCTTTTGTTACATTCAGTCAATGTGAGGCACTACTAGAGAGCTCTAAGTAAATGTTGCAATTCTGACCCTCTGGGACTGTGGGTCTCAGAGGCTTAATGAAGAAGTTCGAATAGATATCAATACATTTTGGGTTCAATCTCCTAACAGTCCAGCAGGGGGCGGTCTCTTGCACTCCAACCTTACACACATTGCAGAAGAAAACGGGAAGACAGCCGTACACGACAGAAGACATTTTCCTGATTTCCAATTGATTTTACTTGTCCAAATGTCTTTCTATAATCTCCCGGGCTTTTCTTTACGACTAAGTGGTTGTAGGGTGAACACGGCGCGGCACAGAGGGACAGCATCGCGCGTAAGTATGCGCCGTTACTCGAGAAAATGTCCCGTTTAGTCCAGCGTCCTTGGAGGTAAACACAGGAAAAGGAGCTGTCTCATGACTCGGTATTAAGCCCAAACAACTGATCAGAGCTACACGGTAAACCGAAACTTTAAACGTGTCCAGTGCGTTATAAACATGTTCAAAATGAAGTGGCCCATCGTGTATTTTCAATGATTTTCTGACAATTAAGGATCTAAAAGCTGGTTTAAGTCAATAACACAAAAATAAGCAACAATTCTGACATTTCATTGTGCATATGATATATAGATATAGTTTTTTTCCTATTGCAAAGGATGGAAACAACACAATTCTATTTCTAAAACCAAAAATAAAGAACTAACTATTGCAGGGTCAACATCTCTAAGTATCTGTCCAGTGAGTTTTGTCCTCATCGATAAATGCAAAGTCATAAAGGTTGTAAAGTCCTGATCATAATCTTATAGGCTATCACATAATAAACAAATAATATAAAAAGCATTGGTGAATGATTTACTTGGAGCTCTGATATTAGATGGATATGGAGCTAGCAGAGTGGTTATCATTTGCCCCAACTCCCAATAGATTTTTCATGTTTAGTGAAATTCTGCTGCAGTTAATCCATTATAGTTGTTATACCCCTGAGCCAGATACATTTTCAATACTGTTTTTTTTTTTTTTTTAAGGTGCACTATTATACAGGCTACTTTTTCTGGTTGGGGATCCGTTTACTGTTTGTCTTCATGGAGATGCTTTGTGTGGTGTCTCATTTTGTGTGGGGGCTCTCCTTTCCATAGATTAGACCTGTAACTTGGCCTGGTATCCATGACATTTAAAGGAACTGTATGTAAGATTTAGATTTTTAATTTTATAAACTTGACGTATGTGTCCCCAGATACATGATAAACATGACCAAATATAGCGATACCACAGAATAGATAGTTAGATAGAGAGATAGATACCGTAGACCAGACATGTCAAACTCAGGCCTGGGCAAATTTTACCTGCAATATAATTATATTTGGCCCGCAAGATCATATCAAATCTGTATTAGAGCTGCCCACTGGCTACAGATAGACTATAGAGACATTATTTATTTAAAATGTTGTTATTATTTTATATTATGCTTGTTCTGGATTCAATATTTAAGCAAAACTATTATTAAATATTTATTTTAATAAGAAAATGTTTAACATTACATATCTCAAAAGAAGAGAAAACAAATGTTTCAATAGATATTTAGTTTGGCCCATGATTTAGTCCTGGTTTTTAATTGTGGCCCTCTGTACAGTATCTGTCCATCTATGTCAAGGGTGTCAAACTCAAATTCACATAGATAGATTAATGGATAGATAGATGGAGAGATAATATAGGTACCGTGGATAGATAAATTGATTGATGTAGCTTTTACTGGTCATAGTAATGCTGATTTAGATCACGATAGACTGTAATGCTGATTTAGATCAGCATTACAGTCCGATCCAATCAGAAAGCTGAAGTCCCAAAATGCCTGATCTGAATAGTGTCTACTTAAAGCCCAGCACCTCCAGCCAATCATGAATCAATGCTAGTGCAGCACCTGCAGCTCAGTGCCTCTGCAGAACAGTGAGGGAATTCTGGAGGATCTGAGCTTTTACGTGAGGCCTGGTCTGTCTGTATATTGAGGATGAAAAAACATTTGCATGTGTCCTCTATCTGCAGGTTAAAGCACTAGCAACTCAGGTTCAGTTTTACTTGTAAAACCCTTTTTAAATTTTGAGAGCAGAGAATGCATACAGTTCCTCTCAGTTTACTGTGGGACATTCAAGGCAAATAAATTATCTCCATAGTGACCAGCAAGTTGCAAACGCTACACCAGAAAAGTTACACTGAGCATCTTTACACATAAGTAACTGACAATTGTACATTCTATCCTGACATAGACATATAGCTGATTCTTGTTTTTCTCCTCAGGTTCTATGTTCCGCTTAAGAACCCCAGAAGAAGAAGAACACTGCGAACAGATCTGCGCGCTCCGACAGGCGGCACTCCAGGACGATGCCCAGCTCCTGGACGCCATGCTGTGCCAGGAAATCTACCGGAAGGTCATCAACTGCAGGGGGGGCTGGGGTGTGTCGGCCACGCCCCTCCACGCCGCCGCCTCTAAGGGCCACACAGGCTGCGTGCGCGTCCTGCTAGCTCATGGCGCCCGCGTGGACAGCCTGGACGTCAAAGCCCAGACCCCCCTGTTCACAGCTGCCCGCGGGAAGCACCTCCACTGCCTCTTAGCCCTGCTCCGTGCTAGTGCTGATCCGAATGGGAGCAGCCATAACCTCTCCTCCCCGGTGCTCACGGCTGCACGAGAAGGTGATGTGGATGTACTGAGGATTTTGCTAAAATACGGCGCTGAAGTGAACGACCGATCCAAAGTGGTGATTCTGAGCTCGATGGTGAAAGTTTCGAGCGGGCCTTTGTATCTGGCAGCAGTGTACGGGCACATTGACTGTTTCAAGTTGTTGTTGCTGTACGGAGCCGATCCGGATTATAACTGTATAGATGCACTGGTGTTGGGACTGATGAAGCAGCCTAAGACGGTGCTGGAAATGTGTTTGCGTCATGGGTGCGGGGTGGAGTACATTCAGCTGCTCATAGACTTCGGAGCCAACGTGTACCTGCCCACACTCATCATCGAGAAGTCCACCAAACAGAACGAGGCCGTGGAGCTGCTGCTGAGAGAGAGAGGTGCGGAGTTAATAAATATGTTGCAGTCAGTGCTCAGAAATAGACAGTTTGTCCCATATCGGGCCCATATATCGTTGTATCTCCAACAGAGGCTAATATTTAGTTTTGGCCGACCTGCTGACTAAAGTACTGCATAAAATATGACTACACAGTTCTCTTAAAGGTTCATGTTAAGAAAAGAGCTGTGGATGAGTTTGTAGTCAAATTAAATTATATTATTTGAGGATAATGATACAAAATCTGCCCAATAATATTGACAGAGCTTATTATTATTATTATTAATTATTGTTAAATTATTACTGGTACATATTTAAATATATAATTTGTGAGCAAACCCTCTCACAGTAAGAAGGTGTGATTTTGATGCATTATTATGAACAAAAATTGCTCAAGTACATGTTACATAGATGTGCGTAATGCCATAATATGGAACACTTGGAACACAAAGCATTTGCATTGGGAGAAATAAATCAATTCCATATTCATTTAATAACAATAATTTCATAATCATCTCAAAATCTCATCCCATATAATTCTATTTATGTTCCACAAATTTTCACATATGCAAGTTATGTGTTTAAACGTATGTAACTCGTTTTGTTTGTTGTTTTCAGGAACCCCCAAAACCCTGATGTCACAGTGCAGACTGGCCCTCCGCAGACACCTCCGCAAGATCAATAAGATCCACTGTATCGACCAGCTGGACCTGCCCACCAGCATCATCCAATATCTCCAACACAAGCCACCACCATTCTATGTGCTATGAGTCTTACACTGAGAGAGAAGCAAGGAACTCAGATATGTACTGTTCATATCTGACCCACAATGAACTGAGAGCGGACAGACAGGTGTAGTAATTGCACTGATACACAGAGGTGGGTGAAGTAGCCTAAAGATGTTCACAGATAAAAATAGTTGTCACACCTTAATCTCAGAAGCTAAACAGGGCAGGGTCTGGTTACTACTTGGATGGGAGACTGCTGGGAATATCAGGAGCCACAGTGGATGCCTGTTGTGTCATTAGGCAAGAAGTGTTGGTGGTGATCCGCATATTGGCAGCCTCACTTCCGTCAGTCTACCCCAGGGCAGCTGTGTCTATAATAGTATCTTACCAACATTTAATGTGGAGTGATTGAATAATGCGCAATTTTTTAAGGAACTTTTAAGTGTCTGGAAAAGCACTATATAAAACAAATGCATTATTGTTAATAAATAAGAATACAGTTATTGGTAAATACTGTAATATTACTCAAGTGTAGGTGGAAGATGTACTGAAAAATTTATAATAGCACAATTGTTGAGTATTGTCTATAAATAAAACAATTAGAAATAACAGCAAAAAGATTAAAAAGTCAAATGAGCAGAAATACCACTTTTTACATTACACTAGAGGTTTCTGTTCTTTTTTGATTACATCTCTGCTCCATTTTAGTTTTGTGCGAAATTTGCACATCACTCAGAATTTTTACAGGTGCATTTGAGCACATTCTGCATTGTCATCTGAATCTCTATTGAGATACCGCAAAAAAATTGCTACTGTACTTCTACTTGAGTAGAGGTGGTACTGACAAAGTCGTTGTCCAAGAAATTACTCAAGTAAGAGTAAAAAGTATTTTGGGAAAGAACTAGTCAAATAAGAGTAACGGAAAGAGTAATTGTCAGGGCATTTCATCTTTATAATTTGATGCTAATGCCATTGGAAGGATAGAACATTGAATAAACTAAACAAAGAACAGACAGAAAAATGCTTTTGTCACTTGTAGACTTACTCATAGTGGGAAGAGTAACCAAAACTTTATTCAAAAAAAGAGTACTGATACTGACGGATGTATTACTTAAGTAGGACTAAAAGTATGGTGTTTGAAAACTAGAAAAGTAATTTTATTAAATAGTACTCAGTTAAAATTTGATTACTATCTCTGCTGATATAATTGCCCCCCAACTAATCCTTCTATTGCTGTCAAATCTGAACTAAAATGACTAGATGACTGTTGAGGGCTCCGTATGTCACATAATTGTGAAGCTCATAGAAATGAATGTCAGATCATTCAGTTGTTTATTTTAATATAAATAGTTGACATGAAATTTGGCATGTACTGGAAAAGCTGAGTTGTATTACATTGGAAATTTGTAAAAACAGCATTCAAAATGTAATTCTACAAACTGACCTGCAGGTGGCAGAAGAGTCAAGACCATGTAAAGGTTAGAAACGATGGACTCAGTGGACGTATGGACATACTGTAATTTTTTTTTTTCTCTCTCTCTTCTCATAGTGTAATAAATGAGAATATCTTAATTTAATTTTCTGTATTAAACAAAATGAAACAACCAAAAAACATTGTAACTGGCTTTTTTTTTTTTTTCTCAAATTTGGTTAAATTGGAATGTCATGTGAGTATGCAAGCTATGAGAGTTAAACTTATGATTAAGAAAGTATTTAATATCTAAGGATAAGTAGTAAGATTAGGTTTTAAAAAAAATACATGTTAATGGCACTATACCTGATTTTTTTATTGTCTTATAAAAATTAAAAACAGAACTAGTTCATTTTAAACAGTTTGCAATGGTCCAAAGTAGAACATCCTAATTATTTACCATGATGAGTTTGTAAGTGTTTTTCACAACTTTCAGAACAGAGCGGAGTTTTGCCACCACTGTGAAGCTAACAATAATGAGCATGTTAACATGCACATCCTGATTAACAGACTTATTTTGACCTTATGAGCAACGTATACAATTTATCCTTACTAGGTCAAGACAATTATTGCTCACATACATGGAAAAAAAAAATCAGGTACAGAGCCTTTAATATTTGTAGAATCCAATTATCCAAAAGGCTTTACAAGTTCATATAATAATAATAATAAAAAAAAAACATGAACATAATAGACTAAAAGCAAATATTTTATTAAATATGATTACTATGAAAATTCCCACTTCAAACAATCACAGAATGGAAGTGTCCCAGCTTCAAAATTGGAAAAAATATTATTGATAAGCAGCCAGTGTTTCCCATGTAAACATTGTATTTGGTCCCTTTTGAGTCAGTTCATTGTCGTCACGTGGTCGTCATGGCGACATTAGCCCAGCCCCACATCCAGCGACATCATGACCACGAAGCCCAGGATGGACATCCACGAGGCCAGCTTCCCGTTGCCGCTGGAGATGAGACAGACACACGTAAGCTGATTTTTTCATTTGATACATTCTCTTGAGGCACTGCTCTGTCTGAAGCAGTTACTCAATTTAGACTTTAATTTGTGCTTTGTTTTAATGCAATTTGACCATTAATAACTGACTGTCGTAACTACAACCGGTGTTTCAGGCAATGAAAACAAATATGAGGCTGTGTTAACGTGTGCATTGTGTCACTATGGAAACTGCTGAACATTCTGCCACAGACATACAAAACATCTTCCCCTTCCAGAATGATATCACCGCAAAGTATCAAATCAATATGTTAAGTTATAATAAGTTATGATCTGGCTTTTTGAAACTCTAAACCAATCAATATAACTGTCATCACTTGTCCATAACAAAGTAAAGATTGATCAAACTTAGAGGAGAAGCCCAGAGCACTTGACCCTTTTAGATTCTCACCTGTCACAGCACTTGTATGTCTACATGTCACACCAGTCAAATGCAAAGTGGCACTTTTACCTTCTACATTATTACACAAACTCTTGTGAATTTAATCCATGTTAGAATATTAGAATGTTGTTATCTCCTCAAAAACAAACCTGGAGTTGTGTTTTTTTTTTTTCATTCACACATGTTTGAGTAACCTTATATTATAAGTCTGTCTGCATCTACAAAGCTCAGAATGCTCTGTTCCACCTTGTGATGTCATGTGGTAGTTCTCAAGTTAACAGTTCCTTTTACCTTTAGTTCAGTTCAGGTCTGAAATCATCCAAATTATTCCAGTGACGGTGTATGAAGTTTAAAACCATAATGGGGCACTTCCTGTATCACCACATGACATCACAATGTAGATCTGAGTGTTTTCCTTTAAGAGAACACCAAACATTTAAGTTGTGATACAAGAAATTACTTCAGTAAGAGTAAAAAGTATTTGGGGAAACAACTACTCAAGTAAGAGTAACTCAGAAACATTTTGTTTGCTTTTGTCATTTGTAGCCTTTTTTTTTTTTTCTTTATTGACCACCCCAAAGGAGTTCAACCTTCACACTCAACCAAACACCACCCACACATCACATCCATACCCGCTCATGCTTAATACGGATCCATAAGGAAAGAATTAGTAATAATAAATAACATGAAATACACAAATTAAAAACTAAAAAGGTATACGCAACTCAGCAAAGGACTCAAACCAATAAAGAACACAAGAAATAAACAATAACAATAATGATGATTATTCTTACCATGTCCCTAATATCAGTGAGCAAATATTCCATTTCCTATTACGCTCTGATAAATGATTAGTTTTTCTGTTTATACTGATTCTATTATTCTATTATGATTCTAAGTATTCAAAACATAAATTTGATATTGTTGAAGCCTTAAATGAAATACTTATATTGAGAAAAGGTGTGAAAAAGTGTGAAAAGGTGTCACTTGTGGACTATTCACAGTGGGAAGAGTAACCAAAACTTTATTCAAGAAAGAGTCCTGATCCTCTGTCAGGTATATTACATAAGTAAGAGTAAAAGTTTGGTGTTTGAAAACTAGAAAAGTAATATTTTGTGAAGTTGTAGTAATAGTAGTAACTATTTCTGATATAATTGTCCCCCCAACTGATACTGCTACAGCTGCTAAATCTGAACTAAAAGACTGTTGTGAAGCTCATAGAAATGAATGTGAGACTCATTCAGGTACGTATTACCACATGACATCACAAGGTGGAACACAGGGCTTTCCTTTAAGAGAACACCTCAGCCTAAATACATGGGGTTTGTGTGTTAAACATGTGTGGATGAAACAAAACCCAACTCCATGTATGTTTTTGATGAGGAAACAACATTATATCAGACCACAAAACTGCATAATATATGTTCTTGAAGATAAGTTTGTATTTTATCTTAAATATCAGTAAAAGGATCCACGTCACATCATCGCTAGTATAAGCCTCACCTGACTTGTGCCTCAGGTATGATATCATCCACCACCACATAGACCATGGCCCCTGCAGCGAAGGCCAGAGCGTAGGGCAGCAGAGGCTCAGCCAGGACCACCGCCACGGCCCCCAGGACCCCCGCGATCGGCTCCACCATCCCACTCAGCTGGCCGTACCTGGGGAAGAGAAGCCGGCATGGTAGACCCCCGTCGTGGATGTGATGTGGTGGTTTATATTGTCTCTTACCAAAAGGCCTTCCACACAGAGACACCAGATCCTCGCAGGGGTAAGCTTACGGCTAGACCCTCTGGAAAGTTCTGGATGCCGATTCCAATGGCGAGGTTTCTGAAAACACATTTACAGTATGGAATCAGTTTTGCATCATTTTTTTACTACTTAGCCAGGCAGTTTATACATGTCTTTGTGTGTGTGACTGACTAAATTAATTGATGTATTATGCAAATTTAATGTTTCAGAGCTTTAAAGGTTTTATATTACGCAACATTGACTCTTGTGAGTTTTAAAACATGTTAAAATGTCTTTATAAAGGTTGAAATTATCTAAATGATTCTAGTGAAAGTGTCTGAAGTGTATAAAACACAGTGAAGCACTTCATGTCCTATTACATTACATTACATACAAAAGTGTTTTCTGTTTGAGAGAAGAACTCAGCCTAAATAAGCAGAGTTTGTGTTAAATTTGTGTGAATGAAACAAAATACAACTCCAGATATGATTTTTGATGAGGAAACATTATAACAGATCAGAAAACAACTTAATCTGGGCCCTTTAAACCATATTATAATGCTTTCCCTCAAGTTTACTCAAAGTTTTTTTGATGGATTCATGCATGTTTGTGTAGTCCTGTAATGTTCTGCATTTAAGTCCTCAGAAAATTCCTGTTTTCACCTTCTACCTATTCTCGCCCACATCTTTGTACTTTGTACAGTTATTTGAAAAATGAAGACTCCGAGCCATAAACACGGAGTTCAGAAATGTCACAGCTATTATTCTAAAATAAAAAACATGTGCATGAAAATGTGCTGCTTGCTACAATGACTTTTATTGCAGTTTTGAACAGGAAGGCTAATGTGACATTTATAAGCTTTATATTTTAGTTCTATATGTCAGTTTACAATGAAGAGATGTAAATGGTAATGTACTTTCATGCCATGTCATTTCAGTACTAAACTTGAAAAAGACATATGTCTTCGTCTTTACTGTCTTTAAAGATATTGTGTAGTATATAATCTCTACTGTGAAGGCAGGGTAATATCTACTCAATTCACACCGACAAAAAGCTAATGTTATAACTACTGTTTACAGGTCCACTAATACATTGTTGGCCAAAGACTGGGTTGTGACCCTCACGTGGGTCACAAGAGATTTTTTGGGGGGGTTGTCTTGTGATGATCTGCATGTAGGTCTGCAAAATACATTTCTGACACATGTTGAAATGTTAAGATGTGTTTTGTGTGATTTCTAAGTTTTTTTTTGTAATTATTTATTGACTATTTTGTTCTAATATTACTGGGCCAATTGAATGTTGAAAAGAAAAAGAAATTGGCTACATTTAATGTCCAAATAGGTGACTTATGGATCCCTTTATTGCTGCTTCAATGACTGTTTTTCATTGTTTCAAACTTGAGTAATACTAATTGTTCAAAGAGACAGGAGTCAGTCAACAATAAAATATCCTCATTAACACTCAGTAATGGTCAAATCCACCTTCATTTTGTGATTTACAAATTATGTATTGACTTGGGTCGTTTGTGACTTTTAAAATATGGGTCCCCAGAAAAAAAAAAAAAGTTTGGGAAACATACTATATTACATACAAGTGACTCTTGTGAGCTTTGAGCCGTGTTATAATGTTGTTACTTCATCAAAAACATACCTAGAGTTGTGTTTTGTTTCATTCACACATGTTTGAGTAACCCTTTATTATTAGTCTGTCTACATCTCCAAAGCTCAAAATGCTCTGTTCCACCTTGTGACGTCATGAAGCGATTTTGAAGTTTTCGAGACAATTCCAGGTCTGAAATCATCCAAATGGTTCTTATGAAGGTGTATGAAGTTTAAAAACACAGTGGAGCACTTCTTGTATTACCACATGACATCACAAAGTAGAACAGAGTCTAAATATGCAGGATTGTGTGTGTTAAACGTGTATGAAACAAAAAAAACTCCAGGTCTGTTTGTGATGAGGAAATATTATAACACAGATCAGAAAATGGTGTAGTATGGGCCCTTTAACCTAAAGAGGGTGTTACATGAGCATTCTTAATTACATTTACTTAAATTTAAAAAGTGTACTCTAAAATATCTAAACTATGACCAGAACACACATACAGTCCTACTAATAGTGCCCCATGTAAACTCCACAACATATATTTACAGATATGTCCACTGGGTGTCAGTAGAGCACAAGACCAGCAAAGCAGCACATTGACCGCTGGTCCAAATCTCACCTGGCGCTCTCAAAAGTGGCTGTTGAAGTCTTTCCTATGGCTCCGAATCCCACTCCCACTGCCAGCCCCTCTGCAACAAAACAACAATAACAGTTACCGCATGCTCATACAGACGAAGAGACCACTTATTTTCAAAGAATACAAAGAATAATTATGTGTCATTTAATGGGAGGCACTGGTACACGGATGCAGTTTTATTGCCTATGCCCCTCACGTCCGCCGAGGTGCTCACTATTCAAACGCAAATGTTAAAAGGTCATAGGGCAGTACATTTGTGGGGATGTATGCAACCGCAATGCTGGGCGAAGTGTTTTACGGACACATTCTATTCTGTTCTGTTCTGAATTTCCATCGGCGCTGAAAGCTAACTCAATTCCATGTTCCGTTATAACAACAAAAACGTGTGAAAATGTGATCTTTTGTTCTGGTATAAAAGCATTCAGAGTACTATTCACTCCCAGTGTTATAAGAGGTAGTCAAAGGTAGCTGCAATGCTGGAACAGTCTGATGAATTTTACTTAAAAACTCACGTTATAATAAAGGAACTGTCAGGTCTAGATCAGTTACGATAACAAATGTAGAAGTTTGATATACTGCTGAAGAAAATATACAATAAACAACAATATTTAAATGAATCTATTCAAGTAAAGCAGGATTATCCACAAAAAAATAAATACATATAAATAAAAATCTGAATGTACATTACAAATACAAAAAAAGAAACATGAAACTTCATATACAGTGCTTAGAGTACTTAGAAGTATATACATTTATTTGACCTTCCACAGCTCAAATTTTATCGTAGCACAGAAAAATAACAAAAAGTTCTCGACTTGTACAAAGAAAAAGTACAGGTGATAAATACTGACCTCCAAAACTTTATTGTTCCAACTGTGATTTATTGAACGGTAAATCGATATAGTAATTATTGTGAAAGTTTAAAACAAAAAAGGTACAACAATTACTGAACTTGGGTTGCCAGTGCCTTAACCTTCAGATAGACACATACAAGATACAGATAGGTCATGCTGATAAAGTCTGAAATATAAAGCCTATAGATCCTTAATTATGAGTTTTATTGTGCAGGCATATGTTACATGAAAGAACATATAAAGTGTGTAGGGGTGTGCTATAGAAGTTTAATCACGATCAAGTTTACACATTTTTAATATAGAGGTCCATAGCCAGTCCTCTGTCTGTAAAAGCATGTGGTGTGGAGGAAGAAATATGATTACTTTTTATGTGGTATGTAAGATTTTCACTTTACATTTCATCAACTTGACCTAAGTGTGTCCCTGGATACGAGATAAACATGTTCAAAACAAGTCTAGCTTTTACTGATTATAACTGTAAAGCTGATTTATTCTTAATTACAAAAACATTGGACATTATGGACAAGCTGTTTATGTTCTAATTTGATGTTTTGGTTCTCAAGACGATTATTCAATCAGAAAGCAGAATGAGCCTCACATCAATCTCTCATTTGGGTTGCCAGCTTCAGTGCTCAAATCCAGATGGTTTAAAGCGAAATGGTAAATGGCCGCATTTTTATACAGCACTTTTCCACTTTCAAGACACTCAAAATGCTTTACATCACTACGCATTCACCAGTGTATACAGACAAGGTGGGGCAAGATGGGTTAAGTGCCTTGCCCAAGGACACAATAACAGCATTTGTGAGAGCTGGAATTGCACTGCCAACCTGTAGGTCTAAACCAGGGGTGTTAAACTAATTTTGGTCCGCGAGCCGTATCCAACCTACTTTGATCCCAAGGGGGCTGGATCAGAAAACTCATGGCATATATACCCCAAAAATAACAATAAGTTCAAATATTTGTGCAGAGAAACACAAATGTATTACAGAAATCTTTTTTTTAATTGATGAACTTTTTCTTTTACAAAATATTATAATATTATGAAGAACCTGAAACTTTAAGAAAAATGCAATTTCAACACAATGTTTTAACATTAAACTGTATGCAAATAGGAATAAGTCCATTTTTCTTGTAAAATCCTGCATTCAGCGTCCACTTTTCTCATTTTTGACATTTTGCTGATGAGGGTGTCACGGTCAACAGTCAAAACAATCGTCCTTTAAGAGCGTTTGGAAAGAGGCAAGTCTTCATTTGTGCTGCTCTGGTGGGAGGCGTCCATGCACAGAGGAGCTGCTATGCTGAGGGGAAAATTACCAATATTTTAATAGAGAATATAATTAAAATATTTTAGTAGAAAATCAACCGAGGGCCAGATTAAAGGTCTTGAAGGGCTGGATCCGGCCCCCGGGCTTTATGTTCGACACCCCTGGTCTAAACGCTCAATCCATTCTTTTTTTTTTTTTTTTTTTTTTTTTTTTTTTCAGTGTCGAGAGTGGTATTCAAACCACCAACCTTTGGATCAGTGGATAAATACTCCAACTGAGCTACCGTCGTCAAACCTAAAAAACCTCTCTCTGGTCTGAATGGTCACTACCTAAACTCCAGTACATCCAGAAGGTTCTGAGCTTTCACATGAGGCCTATCCATACTCTGAGAATGAGAAAAAAAACTTACATGTGTTCTCTATATCCCAGCCGAGATTCAGTTGATATTGTAGGACCTAGATAAAGTTCCTTTAAACGGCAGAGATTAAAGTATCTTATGTTCATGAAATCCATACTTTTTGAACGATACAGTTAAACTGAGAATGATCAATATGAGGGGAAAAACACGGCTTAACTACCTGAATAACACCTTTAAATGTAGAGTATAACTTTGAAAATCAGAGACCAGACCGATCCGAGATAAGAGCTTATCAAGATCCAGACTATGAACTATCGAGCGGTGGCTAATCCCACGACACGAGCACGTTGACTTCAGAACCAGACCAAGATGAATAGGTGCAGAGGCTCAGTCATTACGAAGAAACAGGCCTATTGAATTTAGATAACACTTCCACTGTCAAAGGCGAGCAGAAAGTCAATACTGAGGATCAAGAGCACATATAGTGGCTCTGCTCTCTCCATCAAACACTAAATAAACACAATACTTATATTCTCTTTCATTATCAGTGTTGGTCAGAGTTGACACTTTCAGCTGAAAATGAGCTTCTCAAGTTGGGGATAAGAGAAAGTGGTTGTAGTAGCAGCTTTTGACAGTTTTTGTTGCAATATATATGTGACTGCGAATGCCTATAGATGTCAAATATAAAACTCACTCACTCCATTACTTCTGCACAAATATTGAATATCTTTTCACAATGATAACTTACTGTTATTTCATGAAATGCAGGTGGTAAAATGAGACCTGGGAACAGACGGGAATTGCATTTTTGCCAAAATCCTGTCAATTATTACTCTGAGTGGAGAAGAGTGTGAGCTCCAGAACTCATCTCAAAGAAGATCTCAAATAAGTCCCTGGCCTGTGTAAAAAGGCCAGGGGCTGTGTTACACTTATTGTGAGGAAAGAAATATGTTCTTATGATTATTCAGTTACTGACACTATGATTTTTGAAAATTATATCTTGGCCAGGAAGATACATCGCGATAGTTGTGAGTTTACATCTGGCCCGGCTCCTGCTGTTGCGATTGCTCGGGTAACCAGAAGTTCAAACATTGTGGTTTAGGTGGAGCCAAAGCTAAAGTGCCCAAACAAACCAAAAAAGACAGATGAACTTCAGTGTATTTTAACAGAAATACAGACTATTTTGTTTGTGCGGAAGGTAAGAGCTTTGTGCATTTGTAGACAGGGAAGATGTTTGCGATTTTCTCTCAACTGCGGGACCGTCCACATGACAATGTTTTTTGGTCAAAACGGAGAAGCTTGTATTTGTTTTAGCCTTTCATCCACACGGAGCCGGCGTTTTGGTTGGGCGAAAATTTAGTTTTTTGAGAACGGGTTTCAGAGTGGAGAAATCTGAGAATGCCGGCGCCGCTTTTTCATATGGACAAGCAAACCTCAGTTTTTGGAAAACGATGACGTCACGATCCCGTCATCACCAGGGTCCTCCGATGCAACGAAGCCTGCAGCCCTAAAAAAAAGAAAAAAAAAAAAAAAAAAAAAAGAAGCCTGCAGCCCTCGAACTAGCCTCCACAAACTGCAAAAGCATTGCCAAAATGGGACAGTGTAGCCTACAGAGTCGCTCCCATCACCCAGCAACCGAGACACGTGCTAATGCTAACATGCACCACATATTACGCACACGGATCAATAACAAACACTACATTTACACTGAAACGAATCCGCCTGTCACCATATCAGAAACGATCTGCGTCCAGACACATTGTTTCTGTGTCCACACGCCTTCCCTATCCATGCTTTGTGCATATTTGTTTATGTTTTACAGAAACAAAACTTAAATCCGCATGGCATGTGGTTTTAAGGACACGACTCAGTGGAATATGTGTGTTCTTTCTGTGACTTATGTTTAACTTTTTACTTTTAACTAAACATAATGGCTATATTTCTGGGATACATCTAAAATCGGCTAAATTACCCTAAAGTTTAAAAAACGGTGATGAGATCTGCATTATTAAATATCATTATCATTGTTAACAGCACCACATACAGGTGTGGCAGATGCATTACATCGTTTTCACTCTTCGTTGTCGTGTGGATGTCAATACTTACTGATCCGACACATGTGTGGATGAGAATTTTTTTCAACCCGCAAAGAAAAAAATCCAGGACCGTTGTTGTGTGGACGTAGCCTGGATGTAACTAAAGTTTGATTTTTGTCTTGTTTTGTTGCTGTGACCAAACATCAGATTCATGTAAAATCTGGGCAATCCACCTTTTCGTGATCGCTCTCAGCAAGAGCCATTCCAGACAGACACATTTAAGTAGATGGATTAATAATTTGTAACTAAATTACACTAAGTACATTTAATAGATATGTTGCAAAGTTGCATAGTTTAATTACCAGCAGATAGAACATCAGGACATCTCCACCTGGCTGTAGAATATGGCCACGTCCCATAAAAAAGGTTAGATAACGAGAAGGCCACAGAAATATATTGGAAAGTCAATGTAGCTATAAATCTGCTAAACTAATTACACTTCCGCTCTGTGTGGACACTTCCTTTTCTCCTACGAC